GCACTGAGAGCACCACACCGCAGATGAACTGCAAGCAACGTCCGAGAGAAGATCCCCTAGCCCTTGCGTCGCGAGCACACCTGCAAACGAAATCAGTAGTGACTCAGTAGTGGCTTACAACTTCGGCAACCAGCAGTCTGTTGCTTGCGTAGTTGGGGAATCACAACTACGGCACTGGGATGACCTAAGGCCTAAACAACCGCAAGCCAGGTGTAAGAAACATCAGTGGCAACACAGCGACATACGATGGATGGTCGGCTAGTCAGGTTGCACGTCGATGTCAGCATTGGGTGCCGAATCAGAAGCGCAATACAATGGCTTCCTCATTGCTCATGCTGTCGCGGCCCCACGGCCCGTCACTAGCGGCGTCGGTTCACTCTAAACACGATAGCCGCAACCTGCCTCGACCAGATGAAGTCACTGCAGTACGCAGAAGTAGACTCGCATTGCTCGCCATTGCGCTCAGTTCACTGGAGCCAGGCTCATGCTGGCTGCCGAGCGTTGCGTTAGCAACACGAAGCAGACTCAAGGTCGAGTTGCCATACTTTACCAGAGCATCTGACAACGGTGTCCCGGCGTAGACCGTGTTGAAATCTTCCAGCGCGTGTACGCAAACGGGGCAAGTCTTAGCCAGCTCAACTGCAGCAGCATTGTAGATCTGACAGAACATGGAAGGGTCACGTGGAGTCACCACCACCGCCGAAGAAATAACCTAGGAAGGCCATCCTGACGCGGCAACGGGAGCTGCACGTCGCTCGGCCAAGCAACTGCAGCTAGAAAGCAAACAAAGAGCACACGGGCTCTCATCGTCGTTGACCTCAAGTGATAATAATGATCGGACAGGAAATAACTAACCACCGGAACCCTCAACTGTTGATGCAGCTGAACACAGAAGAAACTTGGCAAAGCAAGCTGTAAGCACTGGACATGCAGCACTGCAGTGACTAACGAGGGTTACGTGTGGGCCTTAGCCTATTGTAGCCCACCAAGCCCCAAGCCAAACACCCGATAAGGCGAAATGCACAGTAACATACGCTGCAACAGATACACACCATGGCATACACTTATGCCAGAATCGCAACCGAACATCCAAGCAAGGTCGCGGGTCGGGCTGGATGAGACAAGCGAGAAGCCAAGCAGCGCGCAAAACTGACCTGCTTCCTGGCAGGAGCAAACGAGCAACGAGCTCCACACAAGCACTGGGCATTGGCTGCAACTGGCACAAGACATCAGCACGCAAGCCTGCGCACCGAGAAGTGCCAACGAACACGGAACGCTCGCAGCGACCGAACGAACAAGTCACCCTGCAGACAGACAAGTCCCCTTACGATGGATGCGGCCCACTTCATCTCCGCACTGTCCAGCAACATTCAGTATTGTGGTCAAGAACACAAGCCCACTTGACGCGCTTTGCACGCGGGTGAACAGAAAGGAAACCGCGCTGGGGATAGGAACCAGGAACCAACACCCACATCCCTGACGGCGGCGGCAGGGCTGGGCAAGAATCCTGAGAACAACAAGCAGAAAAACACTTGCATACACTACGTCGCTCGTCTTTCCTGGCACTTCTGCGCAACTGTCAGCAGCTGCCGAGTAAGCAAGCAACCTCACGACCACAGTCATCCACCAGAACCAAACGTGGAGCTCCAGCGGGAATCCTAACGCGCTCCAGCAAACACGAAAGCCCGACCAGCTTAAGGACGTGTAACCCAGAACACGCACTCTGCACTCTTTTTCTTCCTGGTGTGGACTTGATAATCCAGGCTCAAGACTGGCATCAGCTCGACGGCTGACATAGAACATCAGCTGCTGCTGACGAAAGACTGCCCCCCCTGCAATCACAGGGCGGGCGGGTGGGAAAACAAGAACACTGCAGCAAGCCTGCTGAAAGCATTGGAGGCAACCTCCCCAACAAATAACATCCCAAGCACAACCTTGAAGCAACACTATCCAAACGAGCAAGTTCCACGTGCATCAGACCTGCATCACTCATGAAGCAACAAAACACAGCTCAAGACATGCACAGCGCTCACGGATCCCACTTCCTGTCCCTGGCAGGCCACCCGCCATGCAAGTGTTCGGGGCATGCACAGGCGAAGGCACCACCCGAACCCTCAGCGCCTCCCCAACTACACATGAAGAAGGCATGGGCGGACACATGTCTTGGCTGCACATTCTGAGTAAGTTGAAGGGGAAGGAGGGCCCTCCCTCCTTCCCAAATCCCTGACATCACCGGGCCGTTGGGCCGAAAGTGGGTGCCTGAACACACGAGCACTGGCCTGAAGCAACAAAACAAGCGGCATAGTCTCTCACACACACACACACAAGGAGACATGCTACGTAGACTAGGGCGAGGGTTTGCTGTACGCGCTGGCCATTAGCCAGACCTACCCCAGCGCAGACAGACCACACAGAAAGACACGCAGAGCAGTCGCTTCGCCGCTTCGCACAACGTCTCACTGCTGTCGTCTCACTATATTTGACTGCATAACAGCCGCAGCCTCCTGGGGCCCATTACATCTGAAGTTTTTACTTGCGTCGACCATCAGGCTGGGCAGAGCTATACCTTGGAGGCAACAAGCTTCAGGGTGTCCGAGGACGCGGCGAGCACTGCCGCGAGCGCGGCCCTGCCAGGGCCAAACTTGTCGGCGACCTTCACTGGCAGCGACCCGTCCAGGTCTGCACGCCCAACAGATGACGCGAATCTCTCTGACTGCACGAGTGCTGGCCAAGTCTTGCTGGTGGCAAGGCTCACAGGCCTGCATGACGCAAGCCTGGGAGCGAGACGCTGGAGCGACTCCACTAGACTTTGCTGCCTCTGAACGCTAGCACGCAGCAATGCTCCCCTCTCCTGCACTGCGAGCATTGGCTGACGACCCAACTTCCTTGCCCTTCTTGGCATTCGACCATGGACACCTTGCCATTGACAACTCCCAAGCAGCTGCCGCCCAACCCCTGTAGCTGCCCTTCTGCGCTGCTCGAGAAAACCTCAGCACCAGTGCCAGCCACAATTGTATCAACACAGGGCTTTGCCTCCACACCACCACCACCTGCTACAAGGCATTGCTCCTGACCCGCTGGCGTGCCGCTCACGAGCATGAAAGCAGATGGCCCCGAGATCCCAACCGCATTGGAAAGGCCGAAGTACCCCCAAGGTTTTGCACCCCGCATTAACACCTGCACAGCCTTCACGGTAACTGGCTCAGGGAACAAGACGGTGTCCTCGAAGCTAGGCTCCGATCTCGCCAGTTTGCTCCAGCCTACGCTTTCCTGGAAATTGCCACCGTCTGCGCTGGTGAGCACCTTGATCTCTCCTGGAGCATAGCTCCATCGCAACGTCAGGCCGAGTAGCTGTCTCCGTGATCTGAAAGTGCCAGTCCAGGACACGGCCTGGCCCGGCTCATGGTTTCCCGCGCTGCACCAATACCCTGAAGACTCCGCGGTCGCAAGGTCCGCCCCGAATGTCTTGGAAGAATAAACGCTCGACGCTGTAGCTGCGTCAAAGGAAGCGAAACGCTGAGCAGCTGCAGGCAGCATCAACGACAACAGAAAGCAAGGCTTCACCATAGTGCTCAGCTACGCAACAAGCACACTTGGCACAGGTCGTTCTGTCAGCTACTGTATAGCGGCAGCTAGCGCACGTGCACAACATGCTAACACGCACGCACTCACACTTAATTTACAACTACAGCATCAGGAAGGTGTGAGCATGAAAGGCAAATCACGTGGATCGCAGCTGAAAGTGGGCCCCATTAAGCTACCCTAGTTTTCTCACGCACCAAAACTATCCACGATCCAGCCCATGGACGCCACGACAGCTTGGGCCGCCACGCAGTAATACAACCGGGAGCCACTCGGTTACTTGGCACACGCACTCTCCAAGTGAGACAGCATCACAGCTGCGTCGGTGCTGAGAGCTTGCAGAACACTTAGTGACTGGGTCATCTCGGCTGCTTGCTGCGCATACGCTTTAACAACATCTGCACGCAGCGACGCGTAATCCATCTCTGGTGCTGCAACCGCTGCAGCGCTGAACATCAGGAGCAAGGTAGGAAGCAAACAAAACACAAGACGGGCGAAGCTCATCACGGCTGCCACAGTGAAGTAAACGACCGCTCGACTTTGAAGCGCTGCCGGCGACAACAAATTCTTGACAGATTTCTGCAGGCGCGACCTGTACCTGCACGCAAGTCTTGGCTGGCCTGCACATGCGCATTGATCTAAATTCCTTCATCCCGGAATGACCGTCTACTCGAATAGAAAATTGGTGCCACCACCGCGGAACTTTCGAACCAACTGTTGGCTGATCAAAACGCGGAAGCTGTGAAACATGCAGAGGGTCATGTCATAGTTCGGGCCAATGAACTGCTAAACCGTTAAACACACCGTGCGTGATAGAGTGGGTTTATGTCACAGTTGGTCCCAGCTACATTATGATGAGCTGTCTCGGAGCTCCGTCCACCACTGGCTGCGGTAGACATCAGAATTCCATGGCACTCAGGCTGCTGCGTCGGACACGGCACTTTTCAGCGTGTCTTCAATAAACCGGCACTCTGCCTCGCAGGGGGTTACTTCCAGACAAAAGCACTGGTTTCACAGCTATCCGGCAGGCGGCCAAATGACAGCGCCATCATAAACAACTACATCGCCAGGACCTCTCCCTAAAGGAGATGCTTGTGTTTGACATTGCTCTTGCCGCCGCAGGAACAGGCCGAAAACACCCGTGCACCACGTACCGAACGAGGCACTGCCTTACTCAGCTGCATTCTGAAGTGAAAGACATGAAGCAACACCAAAGCGGACCACTGCTTAGGTACTTCTTACGAACGAAATCGCTGCTAAGTGCTTCATGTCTACAACCATGATCCTTCTCCAAGCTCGAAACGGAATGCAAGATAGCATGCGTTCCTGTTCTAGCAGCACCGACCCATGTCAAGTCCCTGCACGGCGCTGAGAAGCCCTACCCTGCCAACCTGCACAAGCACGCTAGACTCTCCAGCTTATGCGCGGGAACACGCAGAACGGACAGAAAGAGGTCGGTCCTCCATCAGTCTAGACTGCATCTCCAGCACACGGCTCCGGACCTCCCGACGCACAGACAGGCTCCCAGACACTGGTGAAGTTTGCAACATCAGGCAATGTCCTGCGTCTCTCGCGCATCCTGCACGTGCTCGGCATCGGCTACCTCGATCAGCAATCTACACGCACGCACAAACGAACACTGAATCCCCGCTTGGATGCACTCTTCGATGCATCCGGCAGGACAGACAGACAAGCAAAGCAGCAAATCATCTTGGTCGTCAACACTACAAGTACTGAGCTGGGCGCCATATCGGACAGCTTGGCAAAGCCAGTGGAGGGCAAGACTCGCACGTTGGCCTTAACGGCCAGCACGGTCACGGATGTCTGGCGCGCACAAGTTACCCTCCCTGCAACCTGCCTGCGCAGGAAGACCTTGGCTTCCAGTTCGCAGGAACTTTACAGGCGCTGCCTGATGCCTCTTGAACGTTGAAATTTCGGCTTGCAAAGCCACCTCCCACATAACCGTCACGCTACCGTTCTGAATGAGCTGCCAGAAAAGAGACGTCCATGCCTTGAGACGATGAAGCACCACAGCCGTTATTGAGTCCATATCGGAGCAGGCCTACAAGCAACTGTTAAGCCAACTCTTCAAACAAAGCGAACCCACAGTGCACCGGCCTGGGCTAACAAATCTGACTCCTGCTTGGACCTGCACCGCAGGATAGTGCGTGCGGGCGTATCGTGGCAACCCGCAAGGAGTTCGGCAAGGCAGAAATGTGTTTTCGCGTCACAGAAGTCGATTCCTGATCTAGGTTTCACATGCCTCTCGCCCTGGGCCACGTTTGCCGCCCCAGCAGCACCCAAGTTTTCGCTTTTGCTTCGAAAGCTGTGGGTACTGAGTTTCAGCACCAATTAATTTCTCCTTCACTACGCTTGGAAACCTGACAGGCAAGCCGGCCCCCTGCTCACAGCCTGTTCTGAAAAGACCGCAGACTTTCGTCAGGCCAACAGGCCGCGGGAAGCACAAGGACAAGCAGCAGTCTCCTGCCTGCGCCGCCTCAAGTTGCGGATGGCTGCTTCGTTTGAAGGGTCTCAGCAGCACTGCGCGATCAGCCAAGGCTTACTTCTGGAAACCTACGGCACCCCACCTGGATCGGCCACTGGGTTGACTACCACTTTGGCTTCAAGTAGGACATTGTCAGATCGCAACGTAGCGAACCCTAAGGTGGGAGCACCTCACGCAAGAGCAACAAAGAAAACACAGCTAGCCAGCTAGCTGTTTCTTCGTCGCATCTCACCACGTTCAGTGCGAAGCTGTCGCAGAGCACCTGGGCTGTGGAAAGATGAACAACTGCATCCAAAATAGAAAGCAAGCAACCGCGGGTTCACGCGGGGTCCCAATGGGCTCCAGCGAAAAGCACACACCTTTGAAGATTTGAAGACGTACACGTACACAGCTGGGGTTCAGCTGGGACACGTTTAACGGTTAAAACGACTCTCTCTCTGTCTCCCTCTCTCCCTCTCTCCTCCGCGTGCAGCTTGTGTGTTATGTTCGTCGTCTGTGGAAGGCTGAACAACTGCATCCAAAATAGAAAGCAAGCAACCGCGGGATCACGCGGGATGCCCTCTTGCGTGCCAACCCAATATGCTCAGCGCAATCCAGCAGGACCACGGGCACAAGGCAACGCACCAGATGACACTAGTGCTGAGGATTTGCACACAGCGAGAGTGATGTCTTTCAGATTCATTCAGATATCAGGGTTATAATAGCAACCACGTAGTGTTCGGAGCACGCTTTGGCCATCTCTTAACCCACCCTAGTACAAGCAAACCAACGCATGGTGAACCGTCATGCTTAGGGCAGTAGAGGGGCTGAGAACCACTTTGGAAATTTCCTTTTTGGCCTTTTCAAGGCTCCTGTCATACGCCTGCTGGAGGTCTAGCAGCGCAGCCTGGCACGCAAAAAGAAGCAAAGCCACAAGCCACAAAAAAATGAGCGTTCAAGGAGCCTTCTCAAACGCTTCTCCGCTGCGTTCTATCTCTGCTGTTACCTGCACAAGATGGGCAGATCACCAAAGCAACATCGAAAACACTGGCATTGAGCATTGGGCATGGACTGAGCCACGCCTGCTGCACCTGTGCAACGAGCAGCTCTGTATCTATTGCACGGTCTTAGAAGTAAGCTACCAAACGCGTAGTGGTGTAGCATCGGTGTAGGAACACTATGTCACCATTACGTGGCACAACACTTCAACACGAAACGCCTACGACACATACTACAACCGACATAAATACACACCGCGCCTTCACGACACCTTGAGAAGAAAGAACTGGCTGGGAACTAGTGAGCCATGCATGTGGTCGAAATGGGGTCCCACGGGGGAGGTTAGAATAGTTTATTTAATATTCTCAGGGAGGGTGAACGTTATCCCGGGCCCGGGCCTTAGCAGGGTCTATCTCCTGCAACCCCGGCCCGGGCCTATCTCCCGCATCCCGGGTCCGGGCCTGCCTTTGGGGTGTGACACATAGTGTGACTGGGTACTGGCGACTGCAGTTGTTGACTTCTGTTCGGAGTTTCTGACTTGCTAGGTTTTGGGTGTTTGGGCTGACGGCCATAATCACATTCTTCACAACCGCCAACATCTGAAACCAAATGTTTTGCACCAGCAGAGCCAAGAGCAAGAGTCTGCGAACGACGCAGGGAGGCAGAGAGCAAGAAAGCCCTCCTTGATGGGGCTGCGGGAGTTCAGCCTAAATCCTCCTTGAGAATAGTCGGAGGGGTTGGGGCGGGACTAGATGCTGTCACAGCTGCTTTTCAGATACCTGCGAACGTGCGCAAAAAACTGTACAGCGTTTATTTTCCTCGTAAAAATCATTCTTGAACAACGTATCTTCATGTCTGCGCAGAACTGTTTGACAAAGCATGCACTCACTCTCTTTTCCAAGGAAGGGGATTTGCCAGTAACTGCTGCTCCGTTCTGCGTTCACGCGAGAAAGGCATGAAATTTCTGGATCCTTCTTCAGGATCTCTGAGTAAGCGTGAAACCAACATTTTCTCATGCAAGCAACTCAGAAAAATTTTCCGTGTAAAATAAACGTTTGTACTTACAGCACGATCACCTTGGTATATATTCATACCCTCTCAATCTAGCGCAAACACAACCTACTCAAGCCCTGCACACTAAATCTTTTTCGCTGGGACTGTACTGCTCAAGTGCAGAGCACAAGTGCAGAAGCAAACACACACCACACCGCAAGAGGGGGACGGCAGTGCGTGGGCGGGTGGGAACTTATTGAAACGCAAGATCGGAACACTTCAACAGCAGTTGAACACAAGGTCGACCCACGACCAACGCTTCTCTAGAGCTCTGCTGCAACTGTACACGCAAAGGTGTGTACGCTAGATAGAGAGGGTTTATGTCACAGTACGAGCCAGTGACAAAACGCACCAGATTATTTTCTAAGTTTTTAATGTTTTGAAGTTTCTTAGTCTTAATTGCGATGGAGCCCCGAAACCAAATGGTCGGCAACCCAGGTCCGGGGGCCTGGCTGGCCGGATCCGGGTTGCCCAGCAATATCATTCTGCAACCCCCCTCAACATCCTCGTGAAACCCACCCGCTGAAGAAATAGTATTCTTAACCCTCCCCCCCAGAATATTTTTTTTCGGCCTAGGGCAAAGTGAGCCCGACAGTGCCCTCTACATTCTACACTTTGAAGGGTGCGAAATGCTTGTTGTCGCAAGCAAGGTGTTAAGAGAACAAAGCTAGGCCTTTTACACATGAACCCCACAACCTTGCGGGCACACGCAGACAAAATTTATTGCCGGGCCTACCACTGTCAACAAACACGCCAGGCACTGGCATGCCTCCCAGGTACTCCAGACAGCAATGGCAACACGCTAAAAGAAGGACTTGCAGACAACACGAACAGTGATGTAGAACCGCAACGGGCAGCATCGAACCAAATAGTTTGCATAACTATTACAGTAGCAACACGAATGCGAAGATGCAGCTGCGCATGCTGCGCCACAACAGCAATGGCCCTGCCCCCAAACCGACGAACCAGCAACAACGGCATGTTCCGCTATCAACTGCTATGGAGACATCTGTTTCACGTTTCACCGCGCTCTTTTCTAGAATCCCTTCTTGTGAGCTAGCAAATCAGCAATCAGCATTGCCATGGTAACAACTATTGCAATGGCGACCCCTTGCCTAGCCTCGGGGAACAACTCCTCTGGAGGCTGCAACTGGACTGCAAGGATCGGCTGACCGTTGTCAGCAGCTGACGCTTTGCGCATGACCTCCACGCCAACAAACAACAGCAACGTGGTGTGTGTCACACATGCATCAAATCTGCAGAACACCAGCTGGGCAACCAGGACATAAGACAGCACACTGCCAGACAGCAACATCATGCTGGTTGACCAGCACAAGGAAAACCTTCTGCCGAGGTTCAAGCCGTCTGCAAAGAAATCACTGGCAACCACAACACAACCACAAGCTCCAGACACAGGCTACACTCTGCCACACTAGCAGCGGCAAAACCTGGCTCACTACATGCACTATAGATACCTCCCTTCCTACTCACATCTGTGTCGCGCGCGCAACGCCAAAGCTGCAGATGTAATGTGCACCAGGAGGCTGACCGTTAGGGTTTCAGGTTCCTCACACGTTCTTATGCAGTGCATCAAGCGGCAGTCTCTCCTTTTTCCATTGATCGGACATGCCTGCAATCCCTAGGCAGCA